AGCCCCCCCCCCAACATATCAGCCCCTCCGAGCGCTGAACGCCCTGGGACTCCAGAGACCGAGGCCACCCACACAGCGACACGCAGAGGTGACACAGCCCCGTCGGGGCCTGCCCAGGTCCGTCCGGGCGCAGCTGGGCTCCTGCCCGCCTGGCCAAGACACCGACCGTTATGCAGGGGTTGCATTTCCCGCAATGAACTCGTGAAGCTTCGTCTTCAAAGCGAGATGACTGAAAATACATTTATGAGGGGTTCAAGCCATTTCCGGAGGACGGCTATTCTCTGCAGTGAGCAAACCTCTGTGTTCTTTAAACAGTTTCCAAATGTCAAAAGAATGCTCTGCACTTTGCCGACTCTGCACGGCATTAATATTCGACTTTCAAAGAGCGGCTTCTGTTGTAAACGATACCGTCCCGCTAGTCACGGAAGCAGCTTTTCAAACAGAGCTGGCCCGGGCCAACCTACGTCAGCTGCAGAACCGATTCATTACAGTCGACGGGAATGGTCCTCGGGCGAGTGGCAGGGGCATCCCACCACCGCTGCTGAGCCTCCCGGGAGGGAGGACGAGGGTGTCCAGGGCAGGCTGGCGCGGATGCTGCCCCCGAGGACCAAAGGCAGTTTACGCAAAACCACTCAGGTTACTTCTCCTCAAAACGTGAGGATTTTGGGTTCTGAGCCCAGGGAACCAGCCCGGTATGTGCTCTGACGGGTCTGTGTGTGTGACCCCAGGGCGGAAGCCCTGGGATGTCTTGTCCAGAGGGAAGGACGGAGTCCCAGGCTGCCACTGCTGGGCCAGCCTGGGATGGCTGCCTTCCGGCCCTGAGTTCCAGGGGCAAGAGCCCCAGGGAGGGCGGGGCAGGAGGGCCATTGCCACTGCAGGAGCTCGAACGAGGAACCAAAGTGCAAATGGGCTGCTACGTTTCTTCCAGCAGAGGAAAACTTGGAGGACACTTCCTGCAGAGATTCAGAAGGGATGTACCGGAGGCGGCCGGTGCCGGGCACACCACGGCCCTTGGGGAGCCACGTTGCTCAGGGCGCCCGGGCCAGCGAGGGGGCCACAGGGCCAGCAGGGAGGGGGATTCACCCACACCACGTCCCCTTAAGGGGAAGATGGAAAAGATCAGGAGGTGAGCAAAGCAGCGGATCCTTTCATTTGGTTTGAAAGAAGCTTCCACTGACTTCAAACTCTCTTTTCAGCACAGTTAAGGGAAAAGGGGTCTGCAAACAACTTGAAAACACCATCCCACACCCTAAATGTTAATTCAGAATAACTTTCAGGAAAAGCAGAGAGGCCCCTCCTCACCTGCGTCAGCACCCAGAACACCCACACTCCCACCCACACTTAGGCTCCCGGGGTCTGCTTGGCTCTCCCGAGACCCCACCAGTGACGCCGAGCCCACACACGCAAAGTGCTTCTCCACCCTCCTGGGAGCGGGGATTATGGAGAGGCCTCGAAAGACAGCCATCCCCGAAAGACCCTACGGTTCACGCCTTCTACCAGTGAGTCCCCAGGCTTCCTCTACCCAGTTCAGCGCTCTCATGCCCGGATGTGAAGGTGGGTGCTGCTTGGTCTGCAGGGGCTCAGATCTGGATGCACCCTCGGCGGGGGCTGCCTGGCTCCAGGCCCCAGGCCCGACTTGAGCTCTCTCTCCCTTTTGCAAATTACAAATCCTGCCTCGCACAGCGCGCTGGCTGCAGGGCAGCCGAATCCAAGCCTTTTCAAGTCTGGCCAAAAATTTGCCCCGAATTAAGAGATTGCAGCCTACTTACAATATAAAATAAAATAACTCTAGGGGCCTTGGTGGTGGTTTGAGTAAATGCCGTTTATTCTCTTTCTGACGGGATAATTTTCAAAGCAGCGAGTTTTGTAAAGACTCAGGAAGAAAACAATTTTGTTTCATTTCCATAACAGAATCCAGACCTGGGGCTTCACCCTGCGATCTGTAATTAGGCTCGCACTCTGCCCCTGCGCGGCCTCCGCCGAAGCGGCTTTGTTGTCCGCGGTGTCCTGCCGGCCCCTTCCCTCCGCGGCCGACTGCGCTATTTCACGGGCTACGCGGCCTCGATGGCCAGCAGCCCCGGGCTCCGCTCTCGCCCCCCCACCCCTCTGTCATCCAGGGCGACGGGAGCCGGGGGCTGGGATGGGGGCCTCTCCCCGTTAACAAGAAGTGCTGGCCGTGGACACCTGACCTTCACCGCGCCGCGGGCAGGGTGGACGTCCAGACCAGAAATCGTGAGGGACGCTGGCTCTCCTGAGCAGGCCGGCCTGAGGGCGTTATCGCTCACAGAAAAGCAGCAGCCCCCCCCCCACCTCCCCAACACAACGGCCTTCAGAGGTT